GTCAACAAGTGATTCATGCTTCTTCTACAGAGGAAGAAAAATTTACTGCTCATTGCTTTTGTCAAGAAAACTTAACAGAAACCCACTCACAATCCGACGAGCTATTGGATTTGGAATCTGTCGACACAAACGTCCGTCGATATAAGCTACGATACCCGAAGCCACAAAATTCCCAATACCGGATCTCCACATAAACTTCATCTTCTTTTTCTTGTTGTCACTGAGTACTGGTACGATTGCAGTACTAGAAGAACCAGTGTCATTACTCTCGGCCTCTGCTTCTTCTTTCTTTGGCCTTAGACCTGAAATGACCTTTGTCGCGTGCTGTCTCAGCATGCGAATTGCAAAGCTCACGAAGAGATGTTCACATAATGTCATCACCGTTGGTCCGATTTTCCATTCCTGACCATATTGAGATATTCACATCACTCAGTGTTCATCGAAATCAAACACATGAGCATATCATTTCAGAATGGAAACCTTTAATTAAGCTATACAAACAAGTCAAATTGGTGCTCATGCAGAAAAAAAGAAGTGATTTGACTTTAACCTTATCTCCATGAAGACGGCGAAGAGGACGAGAGCTTGAAGGATCTCCTTTGAGCAAACCCCTGCTTTCGAGAAAATCTTTAACACGGTCTATCATCTCATCTATGAGAGAATTGCTTGGTGGGAGGTTTTTCAGGAAAACCTATAAGTGAACATGTTTAGTTAGTCATGGAAATAGGAAGTTCATGATTTCTGGTTGGTATGAATGTGTTTTGGAAGGGCAAAGCAAATGAGGTTAGAGAAATATTGTTCTTAATATATTTACCTGATCATCAATGACTTTGACTCTGAGATACTCTTGTCTATACATTGTATCCAGCATAGCTTGAAGGTATCCTTCGATGTATAACTGCAAGGAGTGAATATGAGCATACATAACTAAAACTCACTAGAATGTGTGACAATGATTCAAAATATTTGAAGAAGTTAGTAAATGTGACGGGAAGCTTGCTCTTCTAGGTTTTACATGTTAAGGAAGCTGTGATCCTTCAATTTATAAAGGGAAAACCTCAGAAGATGGATATGTAACAAAGCTCTATACGTTGATTTTTCGGTTTCTTTTTCTACTCTATAGAAATGAATATATGATCATTTGAAAGTATAAGACAAGGCCGTGAGATATCACCTCATCAATACCAGGACTACGATCAAGCTTAATTGTTCTATCAGGCCCACCTTCCATCAAAGCTGTTCCTATCACCGAAGGTTCCATCGCCAGTTTGAGGATTCCATGGTGGAAACCGCTAACCTGGGAAAAGAGAGATATATGTATTTGTAATGAAATTTTTTAGCCTAATTGATCATCAGTATGAAAGGAGATAAGTTCTCACCAGTCCATCAAGACCTTTCATTTCTGCACCCCTAAGAACAGAGTCTGAGATTTCAGTGAGAGCAACGAAGATGACATTGGATCCTGCTGTTCTTAGCTGTAACATGGTGGTTCCATAAGAGTTTTTATTGAAAAAACTAGGAAATTCATGATCGATATATTTTATGGTACGTACAGTTTTCCCAAGATCACCAAAGTAACGTCTTGTCCCTGACAATCCTTTGTTGTCAATAAATTTGCTGAGGAGTTTGAAGGTGCCTACAACAGACATAAGCAAACGATATTTCCACCTTAATTAAGATATGATGCATATAGAAGCCAAAAAATGAAGGTATCGATACCAGAAATGCTTATTGCTTACCAACTGTCAAACCAGGGACGTTCACCAAGCCTCGAGAAGGATCAAAAAAGGCGTCAAGAGAGGACGATGCAAAATCATCAAACATGGACGCGAAAGCTGGTGGAAGTAATGGACTGCCCTTTGCAATGTAAATTGCTCTCATTGCATACCTAGAAAGCAGGTATCCAAGTAAATAATACCTAAAAGCAGAGGGTAGTGTACTTGGGAATTTTTAACATACAAGCAAAAGATGATACCATGAGTAATGTTTTACACATCGTAGAAGTAGTTCGCGAACTGTTATCAAAGCATGAGTGACCAGTACACCATTTAGCTCTACAACCATATTTTTTATCTCCGGAACCTACAGAAAACAAAGCACCGGACAAGCATTAGCTCATGAAAAAATATTTGCATTTGGATACACGCAAAACAGCAAATTAATAAGATATGGAAAATTCTGATGCCCATACCTTAACAACACTATGCAGCAATGACCTCAGAGTTTCTTGAGCGGAATTATAGCTCGAATATGAGCTCCCAGGAACAAAATTAGCAATTATCTAATTGAAAAGATACGAAACAGAAGTAGAATTTAATATAGAGTAGAATTGAAAAAGAAAACGATTAGAAAAACTGTTAGAGCAAACCTTTACTGGGTGAATTTCAAAATGATCAAAATAATATTGACTACTTTGCGTATTTGTACTGAGTGACGATCTTGAAAATGCCACAACTCTCATTAAAGTCTCTTCATCTAGGTTCAAATTGACTGGCTGCACGTAAGACATAAGAATATTAAATCCAGTAGTATAAGCAGGCATTAATGTCAATACTATCAGTACTTGAAGAGTCAGCAGTTGACTTTCGCAGCTCTATTTCCTATTTATTAATTTAGACAGGGTGAGGAGAAAAAAATAAGGAGAATTTCAAAAAGAGTGACACAGTAACCGCCGGATACCTGCAAAACTATTGAGGAGTGCTTGACTTGTGTGACGTTGGAACCACTTGATACTAGAACAAATACACATTTCAATAGACAACCATTTCCGTCACTGGAATCTGATTGATGCTGACGAAGCATGGCTGCAAAGGGTGCTCCTGTCCATTTGTGATCTACATTCAGAGCCTACAGTATCCAAAGACAAAAGCCATGTCTTATTTCTGCAACCAGAAAACCAAGCCAACCTATTGCACTTCATAAAAGGATACCTCTATACATAATTGGTTAAATTTCTGTTGGTCAGTGAACATGGATTGTAGACCAAAATTCTCAAGTCTTGCCACTAGGATCGGAGAATAAGACAGGACAGCTTTCTCCTCCGCATTCTGCATAAAGATTTTAACGTAGAATCAACTCTAGGAGGCAAAGGAGGTCGATGCAAACTAATGCAGGAATCGCTACATAATACAGATATGATGATGCAAAAGAGAGAAGTACAGTACAGACTTACATGCTTCACTTTTTCAAGTAAGTGAATTCCTAAATGGGTTATCCGGAATTGAATTTTTGAACGAGACTGGAATACTGAGTCTCCTTTAAGGCTTTTCGAAACTTCACAAATGCGAATGACTCGAGTCAGACCATCTGCATATACTTCATAACCGACCTTTACCATCGGTAGGCTACTCAATTGCTCATAGGCCGTTTTATGATCTTTGGCCTTCTTCTTTTCCAACATTAAGTGGGAGGCTATGCTTCTATGTTGAGTTGCCTTGAAAAGGGGTTTCCATGGACGGACCTTATCTAAGCTCACTTCACGCAGAGGTATCATGCCTGAAAATATAAAACTCCAGCTTTTTGGTCAATCATATACCTATGAGCGCTCGGTAGATTGATAACATGGAATAAAACTGCCGAATTTTTTTGAACCTAGTAAATCTAAGACGTTATAAAGGTTGATTATTTCTAAGCAGGAAAAAAAAAACTGGAAGCCAACTATTACCATCAACTATAACTACAAGCTTGTGCGGAAGGGTCATATCATCCCATGCATAATCGGCCCCAGTTCCAGGTCCCAGTACTTCAATCTCTGATGAATCCTGCAATTAACAAGCAACGGGAACTGAAAGAAGAACAGAAATTCAAAAACACATATGTAGCGATGACAATTATTAGGATGTGGCCAACCTTTTGGTAGTAAGTGAGAGATGAAGACAAGAAATTCTCAATTCGATATGGTGGTGGAATATTCGGTGGTTTTTGGAAGCGGACAGCAAGAGTGGAACCTTCTTCAGTAACATTAACAGATGCAAATTCAATTGCGCCTCTGCCTGTTTCACCTGACTGCTTTCTGAACTTGAGGAAAAAACATCCAATTGAAGTGATGCATAATGGGCCTGACCAACTCCAGTTAGCTTTGTTCAACCGAAACTGAATGAATGTCAATGAATTTGCATTGTCACTTCCGTGCTTTCTGATAAAATTTTCGAACAGATGAAGTTCTTTCCTCTCTGTAGTTTCTTCCTGCAATCGTAAGGCTGCTCTTTGCTTACTTTTGATGGTGACTATGCCTACAGAGTCATCCTTCCCAGAAAACCAAAATGATAGAAAGATAAGTAAATAAATCATGTTTATAAGATGAAAGCAAAAAAAAAAAGGGGACACAAAAAGAAACCTGAAAATAGCGTTGGCGGATGTTGATGGTCTCTTCCGATTCATTGATTACCAGATGTCTCGGAACAAAAGTCACAATCCGTGATGGAACAAGCATTTTACTTGAGACTGACTTAACAGACAACCCAAACCTTGTTATATACCGAACTCCAGACTCATCTTTTGTTCCCAAATTAATTTCTGTAAGTCCTGATAAAGCATCCAAATCCAACACTACTTCAGTTGCCCCATGGCCATCAGCCAATATAACACTAACCTTGCGAGATCTGACCAAACAAGGTGTTGAAGTAGTTTATAAAAATATATTGGGTGGAACGAACTATGTACTGAGCACGGATAGCCTACCTTAAAAACC